TATATTTTTCCTTCATCGTTTGTTGTTTTTCAGTTCTTCTCACCAAATTCATCGGCCGCGTCACTGAGAGGGGTTCCGGCGGCTGCGCTTTCTTCTTGAATTTGGGGTATTCTAACGGCCACGCCGTCGCGCGTGTCGATCGCAACAGTTCGCATCTGCGGGTGTTGCAGAACCGCAGGCAGATCAGGGCGAAATGATCCGCCCAAGTCAACGCGGCAAACTAGCTGTAATACAGATGCTGCCTCTGGCTTGAACTCGATATCCGGGTGGCACAGATACTCCACCGTTGCCTGCTGGCCTTCGTCTTCCCTCTGTAGCAAACAGACAAGCACAAGACGCAGAGTACCTCTGGCGGCCAGACCGTCCAAGCCCCGTTTCTATTTTCACGTAATGAGATATCATTGCAACGATGTGTGCATGCATGCATGCATGCACATGCATATGGAGGAACAGGAATATGAGGACGCACCTGTTCTACAGCTACGGGTTTCCACCAGACTCTGTATTTGAGTTTATATGCCACTCTATACGCCTGCCATATCGCTTGTTCCTTCGTGATACCCCCCATAATAGAAAGGGTGCCAGTGGGGGCCAGCAGAGCTGTGCATGCAGGCTTCTGCAATCTGAATACAACCGGCTGCGATTGGCCCACACCTATCTCGGACTTGGGGAGGCTACGCGCGATCAGCAGCAAATCCGAGCGGGAGAAGCCGCGGGAACACAGACGAACGCTCAGCCATAAATTTGTTATGAATGCAGAGGGGTTCAGCTGGCCACTCAGAGGCAGAGGAATCGGCTTAGGAGGCAACTCCAGAGCCACCGGCCCAGCCTCGTCGTTTGCCGGGGGGGGAACAGGCACCAGGCTACGCATCGTTCGCCTCGCTGCTGCTCCCCCAACAGCCTCCATTGAGCGTTCAAAGCATTGTTAGGAGAGCAACGTCAAGCGACGTTTCCTCTCAGCAGATCATCATAGGCTTACGATGTATGCTGCAGTAGCACAGAAAAAGTATGCGGAACAGCTCGCGTTTTCTGGACCCAATACGGCAGCAGAAGCAAGGATGAAGGTAGATCGCATGCGCTGCAGCTTGAGACAGAGAATAATACAGTGAACAGCGCTTGCATCGATTGGGTGTGTGGACTTCAGTAGCTGCGGAAGGAAATGGCGTTGAAGAAGAGGCAAGAAATCACACGAGGTGATCTCAGAGATGTCAGAACAATGTAAATACTTTTGTTGTTATTATTATATAG